ACACACACACACACACACGCACACGCACACGCACACGCACACGCACACGCACACGCACACGCACACGCACACGCACACGCACACGCACACGCACACGCACACGCACACGCACACGCACACGCACACGCACACGCACACGCACACGCACACGCACACGCACACGCACACGCACACGCACGCGCACGCGCACACGCACACGCACACGCACACGCACACGCACACGCACACGCACACGCACACGCACACGCACACGCACACGCACACGCACACGCACACGCACACGCACACGCACACGCACACGCACACGCACACGCACACGCACACGCACACGCACACGCACACGCCCACGCCCACGCGCACGCCCACGCGCACGCGCACGCGCACGCGCACGCGCACGCGCACGCGCACGCGCACGCGCACGCACACACGCACACGCGCACACGCGCACACACGCACACACGCACACACGCGCACACGCGCACACGCGCACACGCGCACACGCGGACACGCGCACACGCACACGCACACGCACACGCACACGCACACGCACACGCACACGCACACGCACACGCACACGCACACGCACACGCACACTCACCCACACACACACACACGCTCTGACACACTGGCACACTGACACGCTGACACACTGACACACTGACACACACTGACACACTGACACGCTGACACACTCTGACACACTTACACACTGACACACACTGACACACTGACACGCTGACACACTGATACACTGTCGGTTTGGGATTGTGTTTGACGAACCCGTCGAAATATACGCCGTCCGTTGCACTCATGCGTGTCACATACAAGCTGTGTTGCGAAACAAACAGCATGAGCTAGAGTGTTGGTAGCTTGGCCTGGGTATTGCGAGGTCAAGGGCTGGATTGACTGGCTGCTTATACAAATGCCCGATCGGGCACTGACAGAGCTTGCTGGCGCTGACTGGGGCTCACCTGGGGCACGGCGTCGCAGAAACTTGCCGTCTCGCTTGATTCACAATTGCCTCTCAAAATCTGGGAACTGTCACTGAATGGAGTAAGACCATTGAGAACACACAACCTTTTAAGCTGGGCAGCAAGCTCACCAAAGATGGAAAGTATGACCGTCCCAAAGCGCTCTTGTTGAATGACAACCACTGCGGAAAAAAACAATCTGTCCAGAAGAGAGGAAAGAGAGTGGCCTGTGATAGGCCCTGATCCCAACCGAAACTTCGTTTTTCAGGGAACCCCTTGAATAAAGTATTCGTCTGTTTGGCCTGGCTGCCCAAAGACCCTACGACACAGTATGTAAGAAGAGCAGGCTCACCACAGATGGAACAGCCACCATCTGCCAAAAACAACAACGGTATCTATCCTAGAAAGCCCGACCGGGCATTTGTATAAGCAGTCAATCCAGCACTTGGCAGATACTACCGCGCTGGGCCCCGGCAGACTCCAGCTCGATGTTGTTTGTTTGGAGGTACAGCTTTCGCAACAGCAAGCAAGACACTCAGAGCAGCTGAAACCAGAATATGCTTACATTTTGACTGGGTTCTTCAAAGGCAATCCCGAATCATGCCGGATGGCTGGTGTTCCCCTGTTACAGATCAGGATTTAGGGACCCTCCCATTTTGACCAACCCTTGAGAGCATATGAAACAGACGCGCGCTTGCCAAAGATAAAGCAAAACTTGTTGCGTTGGATGAAAAAGAGATCGAGCGACGCTGCGTCCGTCGCTGCCCGCAGAAGAGACGTGGAAGGAAAGGCGCCTATTGTCGTCAAACTGCTTTGCTGACATGAATCGAGCAGTTCAGCTGCGTAGCTGTATGTGCCATTTTGTTCCTCTGTTTCTCCGTCCGTCCGTCCGTCCGTTGGCGAGTCAGCCTGTTTGTGTGCGTGTCTGTCCGTGTGCCTGTCTGTGTATCAGTCAGTGTGTCTGATTAGATCCTCCTGAAAATGAATATTTTTGGAAAGTGTGATTCAAGGAGCCCTGTTTGGTGGAGTGACGGGTTTGCGCAGGCCCTGGCGAAGCACCTGGCGATGGCGGCCGCGCCGGAGCGGCCGGAGCGGCCGGAGCGGCGGCAGGCTGGGGTGCGGGCTGGCTGACGGTCAGATAGAATCTTAACAATTGGACCATGTGCGAGCTGGGTTGGGAAAATATGATTAATTACCGTGATTGGTGGAAGCCACCCCCCGTGGGTTTCATGATGCCCACCAAACGTCCCAAACAAAATTCACCCAGGTGGGGCCTGAAGCTGAGCAAAACAGGGGGCGGAAGGAATGCGAGTTTAGCTGGTGCAGCTTCGTGGTTGACAGACGTCCCGGGCATTCTCCCCGCCCAGTGACGTTTTTGTCCTGATTGCCTTGTGCAACAAGTCGGCAGATCCAGTTGATGCTAGTTGCGATGTCAAGTTGCAAGGTGGCCGTGCCAGCTGCCGCCCCGCAGCCAGCTGCTGCCCTAGCGGCTCGCGCCCCGGCTTCCCCTCCCGCCTCCTCGGTGGTGTCGGCTGTGTCAGCGCCAGCAGTGCTGTCGACACGGACGACGCGGCCAGCGCTGGCGCCTCCGGCTCTGGAAGTTGCGTCGGTGCCTACGTCGGTGGCAGAGCATGAAGCGCCAGTGCGCAGTTGCCTTAGTCCCCAGACTGGTGTGTGCTGGTTCAATATCAGGGGGCGGGGGAGGTTTGTGTGTGTGTGTGTGTGGGCGTGTGTGTGTTAATTGTGTGTGTACTTGTGCCATTGCAACATCAAGTTTGGATGCTCGGCGTTTGCGCACGCCCTGGCAAACCCTTGCAAGCCGTCGCCTCCTGTTTTGCGGGGGAGAGGTGTGGTTCACTCCGCGTCTTCGGTCTTTTCCAATCCCCGTTCGAGGCCCAAGCCGGCGCCCGCCACGAGGCTCAGAGTGTTGAGGCCCCAGAGGCTTCACTGATGCAAATCCCCTCAACCATCGTTGGTGGGGATTTCCTCCCCATGTAAACGGTGTCCACCAAAGGGTGACCGATTAAAAATGCAATCAGCAAGTAACGTTATGAACCTGGAGGCAATAAGGATAGGAACTTGTTGACTTGACCGGCTTGTGATCTTGTGGATTGATCTTGCGAATCGTGCAACTTTGTTGATTGTCTTGAAAGCTTTGTGGGAAGGCTCCTGTTGCTCGAAAGTAGATAAAAGATGCAGTTGACTTGGCCAGCCGAAGAGACGCTCAAACTTGGGGCCGAGTGGAATCGGTGTGTTCTTCGAGAGATGCTTGTCAGCTGTTTAGTTTGACAAATGGGGTGTAATAGGGGCTAAACATATTACTGTACTAGCATCTTGCTCCTATGACCATGACTCAATTTGGATTCAAAGCACCCACACCCCATTCCGAGTTTCGAAATTCATTTTTGTCATCGGAGGTTTGTCCCATGCCACAACGCCCTCCTGGCGCTCATCGAAAGAGGCAACGGGGATTGGGGTTGAGAGGAGTAAAGACTCAATCGCATGTGCTTCAACGCCTTATTGTGCAGATTCCATTTGCCCGGGCAGTGAACTGATGCCAAAAATACTCGTAAGCTGAGGGACCATTCACTCAAATCGACACTAGTACCATGACAGTCTGTGTTGATTTTGGGAGGAACCAATTGGGCAACTATCCATTTGAATGAACTTTTGAGTTCAGGACAGAGGCCAAGTGGAGAGCTCATTACAAAAGCTGGCCGTGCTCCCGCGAATCAACACCCCCCCCTCCAAACGTCCGTGGGGTTCGATTCCCCCTGACCGGCTTTTGTTCACCCGCCTCTCAAGTGCCAGTCGACCAGCGTGCGACAATGTGAGGACTTGTGCACATCAGCCCTACTGCAACCTTCCCCAGGTGTCAATGTCTTGCAGGAAGACCTGGCAACAGGCTTTGGCCAAGCTTTTCAGTTGTCACAGGAATGTCCACGCGGGAATGGTTGCCACAACGAACAGCAGCGGAGTGTACTTTGATATCCATGTGCAGAAACCCACCTCCGATGGCTCTCCGTTTTTTCCGGGGCAGTCTCCTGGTTTTGATCTCTCGGCGCTTTGTCCTGTTGCGGCTTCTGCGGTTTCAGGGCTCCCCCGCTCCAGGTGTCAGTTGAGAGCCCAGGCAGGACGTGAGTGTACCACGCGAACACAGATCAGAATGGAGAGGAAGTGCTGGGCTTGCTTTGAGCCCCTTGGGCGACAGCTACCGAACTTGATTTGCAGTTGCATGGTTGATTTGGAGAGAACATGGTCTGACTCTGGCCAGAACAGGTAACACATTTGTGGCTCATGAACGAGGCTTTTTGGGCCTCAACAGCCAGTAGCATCCCGGGACCCCTTCTTGTCAGGCTCTTCCAGCGCAAGGCCGGGCCCGGGTGACCCCGGGTGGTTGGGCCCCTCTTCGGGGTGCTTTCTCGTCACCTTGGAAAGGTGAGTACTCCCAATGCCCTGCTTGTCCCAACCCAAGGAATGATGAAGTCATGAGCGTGCAATGAACCAACCTCTGTAAAATCAATGCCCAGCCCGCAAGTAAGCCAGAGCTGCGAACCCCGAGTGATGCCAGAATCCTTTCTACGTTTTGTTGTTCTTGAGGATTGCTGCCTGCCAGGTGCCGATTGTCTCCTTTCCTGGAAAAGCGGTGGGAAGCCAGGGCCCCTGGCCTGGGGAGACGAGCAGAGCGTAAAGCGCATTCAGATTCATCGGACATCGAGGCGAGAAGGCCATGACATCCATGGCCATTAGGTGGGGTCCTGTCGAAATGGGCACGTAGTCACAAGTATGTTTCACCCAGCATCACAGCCCGTGGCCCTTACTGACCATTTTTTGCAATCCCGCTGCTTCCCTCCCATCCTTTTGTGACCACTCTACTCAGCACCCACGGTGGTGCCTCTCCTACTCCGCCCCCTATTGGGTGTTTGTCTCAAAAGATAGGAGTGGTTTCCAATCGGCTTGCCTTCAGGTTCGCCGACAAAACTGCGAGCCGATACCCCCCCCTCCCTCTCGCGCAAACCGTCCGAGGCCATGGAGAAGCGGAGCCGCTTCGCGCCGAAGAGCGAGCTGGAGCGCTTGGAGCGCATCGACCCCGAGGTGGACGAGGCTGACGGGGGGCTCTGGCGCTGGGATGCACAGCCCACAGCGACCATCCAGCTGGCGACATCCGCTCGCCCGACGCCAGGCCAACGCCGTGTTGGTGGAGTCCTTCCTCAACGTGAAGCGGAGCTTGGGGGCAGAGGTGGGTGAGGCGACGGGCCAGCCGCGCCAATCGCGCTGTTTGGTTTGCACGTTCGCCAGCTTCAAGGACCGGACTGTCAGTTTGTCTGCCAAGCAAGGACAGCAATAAAACACTCGCAAACACACGGCTAACCTATGCCGCAATACTGGAATATGATATTTGGTTTGGAATGCTCTGAAAATGATTGGTGAACATCAATCCCCGTGCAAATGACCAGTGTTGGAGAGGGGCTGTTGGAAGTCGATCATGAGAGTGTTAGACAGAGTTGGATCTCTCCTGCTTTGGAAATCCTCGTGAAAACTTACAGCCACAATCAAAACCTTCGGTGGCTGAAGGTTAGGGACAGCCCCAACGGTCAATAGGTGCGGGCCATTTGTTGCTGGTAGAGCGCATGACCATGAGTGGAGTTTTGATCGTGACTCACAGGCCTTTGAGTGTCCACTTCTGTGTTTACTTGATGGATAGCATCCTCCAAGATTCATTTTTCTTTTTTCTGCATTTGAGCAACTTACGCGGTATGCAATTGTCCTGGCGATCATGACACATGGGTTGGTTTCAAAATAAGGAATGCTCAGACACAAGGGTTGCAAGGGTTGCTACAGCTTTCCTTTGTTTTCCATCTCTAAAAATGGTTTTCCATCTCTAAAAAGGGTGTCCTCAAACAAGACATGCCGACATTCACATGCGATGATGCGGTCAGTGTTGGTAAATATGCTTTATACGCGAGCCAAACCTCCCCAGCAAGCATTAGTCGGAGTGCAAGACGCAGCCAGGTGGATTCAGTTTGGTTGACAATCGATGAACTCTACTGATTTCAATTTGGTTTTAGTTGGATTCTAGTCATGAGTGCCATTCCAAAAGGGCAATACCTAGGATTGTTCGGGCGATGCGAGTTTCGACCTTTGTCCTATACATTCGGAAGGCAACGTGTTCCATTCTGCGAACCCATGGGTCGCGGCGGAGCCTGTGCCCGGTCGCCAGGCATCGTCTCAGTCCAAGAGCTTTGGCCCGCAGAGGTCTCAGCAAACATCTGCCACCTGTGAGATTCTGTGAGATCTATTGATTTCTGGCCAAAATCCGTGCTTGTCTCGACTCCCCTTCAGGATATTCCCACGCCCCCTTTAAGGGATGGTTCATTCCAAAAGTGCTGTGGCTAGGTGCTGGTGAATTTCAATGGACAGCACCCTCGAAAATGGCTGGTTAACGCAGATGCCTGGGTCGGACTGTGCGTGGCCGGTTTCCTCTGAAGAGTTCATTCCGCTCCTAGTTCGCTTGAATCCAGCGTATGGGTCTCTGAGTTCAAGCTGTCAGCTTCTGGGGTCGACAGCTGCGCGGCCGATGTCCTACCTGCATTTCGCTGGCTCTTGGCGGACGCTTGGGTCGCACGGTGTGACGGCGTGCGGCGCTCCGAATTTATCTCCCAATGTGGTTCTCTCTAGAACCAAACTCAATTGTCTCGCAGTCGCTTGAGTCCAGCAAACTTGTCCGCCAGTTTTGCCGTTCACACCTGTGCAGATCCAAACAGGGAGACAAAGGAGTCGGATTCAAGCGGACTGGGACACAAGTGAGTTCGTTTCAGGAGGGCGGCCACGCACCATCCAACCCTGGCATTCGCCCACAAGCTGGCAAACAACTCAGTTTCTTATCACGAAATCCTCAGAGCCACCACACATATCCGGCCCAGGCAGCCACCGAAAACGGAAGACATATGAAATCGATTGCACTCTCAACCCAGGCATCGTCCAACACCTACACTGAGAGCCATGGGTTTGGCTTCTCCGCATAGGATGTTGTGTTGAACAACTGATTTTGTTGCCCCTGTGCCCGTTTGTAGGATGTGCTTCCAAGGAGTTTTGCACCTTTTTGCGAACAAGCACCCGTCGATATCCAGACTTGCAATCTTTACATGCGTCCCGCACATGACCCTTGTGAAGCTCGATGTTAAAGTGGCAACACCTTACCACCCAAATGCCACATGCTGTCAATGCTGGTCTCATTGTTACATGACCCGTCCGATTCTCGTTTTCGGATGCCCCAGGTCCAGCTGCTCTGCTTCCAAACCTGGCGCGGGCCGCTACCTTGGAAAAAACTGCGCTTGGACGGGTGTTTTTTCCCCCCGTTTTGATGTGTTTTGAAAGGAAGGCAGCGGGACATCACTCATAACTATATATACATACATTATTGGGGGGGGGGGGGAGTCCCCATTTCGTGACACACCCAAAAGCCTCGGTTTTAGTCAATTATCACGATGACATTTATGGCCCAGAGGTTCATGAGGTAGGCACTCATGTTTGCAAGGTACAAGACCAATGGCATGTCCGCATGTCATTGCTTTGGCTCAAGAAAAGAGCGCGTTGCACGCGCTGCCACAAGGTTAAGGGAGAGGTCGCAGTCACGGCGGGGTTCGTTCCTTTTACGGTCCCGGGTTCCCCCGTTGTTGAGAAAACTGTGTTTCCCTCTCCTTTGAGTGGTTATCAGCCGTAACGCTTTTCGGGTAAACAAACCCTTCCGTGACTGCGACCTTCTGGTCGCACATGGAAGTCGGCCCTCACCGCGGCACTCGCGGTGGGAAAGGGCCGCGCGCCCGTCTGTACAACACTCTGCAACAGATCGTCGTTGACGAGTACAAGCGACAGGACAGACGATTCCGGTGGATCAGGTTTGCAGACGCCTCGAAGCAACAGGTCGAGGCGCTCTTTTCCTGGCGTGAGTCATTGGATAGTTGGCACCTGTGGGATTTCGACCAAGAAGCCTTTGAGGTAATCCAGGCCGCGGACAACGCTTATCAGCAGCGTCTCGCATCGGTTGAAACCGCAGGTGTGGTCTTGCCGCAAGGTGTGCAATCTCAGGATAGAGCCGCAGCCTCTGGCGCGGCGGAAGCAGCAAGCAGTGCAGCGGATTGGCTACGCCCTCCTACGCCTCCTTCAGCTTCATCCTGGCTACAAGATTCGCGCGCTCCATTGCCTCGTATCCGACCATCAGCAGAGGAAAGACAAGTGTTGCGAGGTGCCGCCAAGACAGCACTTCGAGGGGTATACGCTAGAGCTGCGGAAACGCGGCGGGAGAGCAGCAGGGAACGGTCGCCACAAAGATCGAGGTCCCCATCGCCACGAAGGTCGAGGTCTCCATCGCCTCCGAGACGAGGACCGACTGCTGCTACCCCTGTGGAACATCGGGCACACAGTGTTGAACCCGCGCTTGCGCGGGAGGGCAGACCATCCAGGACTTCCCTTGCCACACGGCCCATCGTATTGGCTTTACAGAACAGTATACCCTGTGACACGATTTGACGAGCGCGGCACTTGGGTACTCGTTCGGGAGGCTTCACAGCCACGTGAGGCGACATCTCACCGCCGGGCACAGCGGACATCCGGACATCTCCGTCAGGCTGACCCGTATTCGCTTGCGGACGAGACGTGGAGAGATCCCCCAAGAAGATCATCCACAAGCTCGCGATCACGATCTCCAGATCGACGCCCAGGACCAGCGGAGCACTATCGTCTCGACGCCTACAGAAGAGGAGCCTCCGCAGGACGCGGAATCCCTCAGAACTGGCAGGTCAGCTTACGTGCCTCGGCGCGTATACGAGGCACCGACTCACACTGAGCCTATTGCTTTGCATAGCCGGAGGATTGGAGCAATTCAACCGCCGCCACCAAAGGCCGCACCAAAGGTCATTTTTGGCAGCAAGCCTCCATTGCCCAAGGAACTTCCTCGTGCAGCTTCTTCGGTACCGGCAAAAGCAGATATTCCAAGGAAATCGCCGCGTCGAGCAAGGTCTCCTATTCGGACTCAGAGTGCATTCGGGTACAAGGCGCCTCCGCGAGGTTTGAACAAGGCCGAACCCAGAAGCAAATCGGGCTCAAACCCACCACAAGGGTACATCGTCAAGCCGCCACCGCCGCAGGTCGTTAAAGCAGCTGCTGCAAGCGCTGCAACTTCCGAGGCTGGCGCACGCTTTCGATCGCCACCAAGAAGGCCGCCGCCTGCGCCACCCCCGCCGCCTGCAAGGCCAGTGCCGCCCAAGGAGCTCACCATCGCTCTTGGCTGGCACGGAGTTCTTGACGTTGGGCAGCAGGGACCCCACCTCAACCCGGAGGTGATCCGGCATCTCGTTCAATTTGCAGCCGACTACGCACCTATCAATTTTGTGGTGCTATCCTTCGTGGGCAGGGCTGCAAGCGAGTTTCGCCGCCGCGAGTTCCAGGTCGCCCTGGAGCACGCGCGGGCGACAGCTGGACTCACTGTCTCTGCGATACACGAAAGGTTGGGCAGGGCCGGCAAAGCAGACGCTCTCTTGGGGCTGGGTGCCCACGTCCTCATCGACGATCAAGCTGCGATCGTCCGTGAAGCGCAGAAGACAGGCATCGCAGCGTTCCGCAACTTCCCGCATTTTGGGCCAAGCGGTTGCCAACGCGCTTGAGAACGTTGGGGAGTACATCGAGTCCCGGAATCGACTTTTCATTCCGGCGGCAAGGGGCCTGCACCCTTCGCAGTACCTCGAGGAGCTCCATCGGTCTGCATCCCAGTTGCCCGCCAGTCGGGTACTTCGATAGCCTTTCTTTGCAAGCCGTTAAAACCGTCGCTTTGCGCGGTACAGCATCTTTGCAGCTACAGGCATTCGATTTGCAGACTATTCTCAATACAGCTTGGCAACATCCTTCGATAAAGCACCATAGTGCGGCAGTGCGGATCAATCAATCTACAAGAAGAAGAATAAGAAGAGCAAGAAGGATAAATCTGCTGACCAGCAGACTCCGGCAGCCCCTGCGCCGAAGGTTAAAGATCCAAAGCCGCCTCCTCCTAAAGCTAATGCAGCACCAGCCCCCAAGGGCAAAGGTAAGGGTGGTTCGAACGATAACCTTACTCCTAGGTCTAAGGCCATCAGCAAGACAGCCAATATGACCGCGGCAGAGAAAGCCAAGACGCCACGCATGTTTTATGCCTATAATTCGTGCAAGGCCAAGCAGTGCGCATTTCTCCACAGTGATACAAACAAGTACACTGGTCCCAAGCCCAAAAGTTTGTTGTCACCGCCGCCGCCAAAGGCGAGTGCAGCTGTTGCACAGCTCATTCCGGCAATGGCAAGCGTTGCTTCTGACGACAAT